GGAGGGTAGGAGCTGACCGGCCGTCACAGGCCCAGGAAGCAGGGAGGGGTGGTTCTGGGGCACGCCTGCGTGGCCAGGTCTCTGCTGCTGCTGCTGGATCAGGAAGCTCTGAGGAGCCGGCCCGCTTCCGAGCACCTGTCCGTGTTCCTGCTGGGCAGGGCTGGCAGGTACGGCCGGCCGATTACTCGCGTGCCTGGTCGTGGCCTAACCGGGCTCCCCGGGTGTGGCCCCAAGCAGATTCCGGGCACAGCGGCCAGGTCCCTCCCCCTGCATGGTGGGGTGGCCTAGGCAACAGAGGTGGGCAGGATGAGGGGAGCGTGTGCAGCCCCTTAGGACAGTCTGGTGGCTCGGCTCAGAGAGCAGTCCCCGTGGACTGCCAGGTTGGACAGACAGCAGCCGCAGTGTGGGGTCTCCCTGGGTCCTGTCTGACTCCACCTGCTCCCAAGCCCCTTTGCCCCCACCCACTGCAGCACCTCAGGGTGGGTCTCCTTCTGGAGAAGGCTGGTGGCCAGTGGCCCTGTCCCACACACACCCTCACCCCCACTCACAAGGACCCCCACTCGCCTCCCAGGCCCCAGAACCAGAGCCTTGAGTCCCAAAGCAGATCCACAAACAGGAGCTGTTGTCCAGGGCTTGCTGCCCTGCTGGGAATCCTGCCTCTCCCCCTTCAGCAGTTCCTGTCATCGGGAACCCCCCGCCCTGCAGGACCACATGGCCATGACCTTGTGTATACACTTACTCACCAGCAACCAGAGTGAAGCAGATGACAGGGGTGTGGGCGAGAGTGAGCTGTCATTGTCACCAGAGTAAAAAGAGGCTGAGGCCAGGGCAGGCGGGGAGACCTAAGACGTGCAGACAGGCTTGGCATACTCACGTGTGTATGCGCAATGGGACGTGGAGCTCGGGGCGTTCACCTGTGTATGCGAAGCTCTGGACGTGGACCGTGACTCGGTGTTGCGGACTGTCCCACAGACTGCCCAGGTCCTGCCTCCAGTGGTAAGGGCCTGGACCCTTTACCCCCATGACACCACCCCCATGCTACAAGCAGGGAAACTGAGGCTCAGAGAGGGCCCGTGACCTGCGCAAGGTGGGAGGACCTGCCTGGCTCCAGCATGGCCTCTCTTGCACCCTGTCTGCTTCTAGAACCTTCCATTGAACTCATGGGGTGGGGTGTTTGCTGCTTTCCATTCCACGGATGCAATGTGATGAGTCGTCTTCCCTGTGGACGCCCACCCTTCCCATACCCCCCTCATGGCACTGGTGAAGGCAGTCCTGGTAGGCTCACTCAGTCACTGGACGTGATGGATGTGAAGGGGTTGTCCACGCTGACAGCAGGACCCCACCAGGTGGGAGAGGTCCTTCCAGAGAGCATGCCCCGCACCCAGCTCCTCGGGGCTCCCAGAGACAGCCCCTCATTGTTAGTCCATGCAAAGCAGAAAACTTCCCGCTCCAACCCCTGTGCTCACCCAGGGCATGCAAATTAGGGAGGTGCCCAGCAGTGCTCAGCAAAGTCCCATCTCCTGCCCTCTGGATTTCTGTTCTGTGAATAGCTCTCAAGCATCATCTTGCAAAATTGAAAGCACTCCCACACCCCCACTCACAGGACAGACACCAGCGTGGATTCAGAAGGCCAGAGGAGAGAACTAGCCTCCAGCCCCCCTGGTGCACCATGACAGAAGGAGCCATGGGAGCAGGCGGCCTGGGCTCCAGGGCTGGGGGCATGTCCCACCCAACAGTGTGGGCCCTGGGGCGGCCAGGAGAGGGCCCGTCTCTGGCCCCTGGAATTTGCTGGCTGGGCCACAAAGAGACAGGGGGCCATGAAACCCAGGCTCTTCCCTGGCATGTGCTCTGAGTGCAGCTTGGGAGAGGAGCCTGGCTGCCCCTGATGCCCCACCCAGGTCTGGGCATCCTTGGGGCACGTATTCAACCATCCTGCAGTAATTCCTCTGGGAGCTGGGGTAGGAGGGTGGTAGGGTCAGGGGCTGGTCATCCAAGGCTCAAATGTGGCTCTGGTACCCTGCATCCTGCTTCTGGCTGGCAGGAGCTGACTCTTCGGACAGCCTCCAACTCCAGAAACAAGACCTGCCTACCTTCCTTAGGAAGCAAATGAGCAGAAGTGCACAGTGCATGGGAAAGTTGTTCTAGTCCCAGGTTCTGAGACCTGGCATGGCCAGCTGCCCACGCATGCTGCTTCCCACATGAGAACACCTGGGGCTCCCTGGGCAGCATGGAGTTCTTCCCTAAAGGCAAACCAGCCACACGCTGTAGTCACAGGCGTCAAAGAAGTCAATGCTTCCCACCCCCAAGGCACAGGTGACTGAGCCCGGCCAGCGCTGGGGAATAGAGAACCAGTCTCTCCTTGAAACTACACACACACACGCCCATGCATGCACAACATTGCACATGCCTACACATACAGAAGCACACATGCACAATTATACATGCTCCCATGTGTCCATGTGCACACATGTACACATGCACGTGTGTGATATCTACACATGCCCCCACATGTATGTGGACATATGCACATGTACACACTGCCACATGAACACACGCACAACATGGACCTATGCCCACATGTGCACATACACATATGCACGTGACTATACAGCATGGAACTATGTACACACATACATATATGCACATGCACACACGTGTATAGCAGGTACATGCTCCCATATATACAAATGCACACATGCTCAACATAGACCTGTGCCCACATGTACACATACACACATGCACATGATGCACGGCATGGACACATTCCCACAAGTTGCATATGCACACACATGCATGCACACCCACACATGTGCACACATTGCAATGCATGCATGTACACACGTGCACACACCTGCACAATGCACATGTGCATATGCACAATGTACACATGTAAGTGCACACGCCTATACACACATGCGTGCATACACTCCCGCTCCCCGTGGGAGCCCCAGGTGCAGAACTGCCTGATGGAGTCTGCAGGGCAAGCTGTTGTTGTTTGCCATCGAGTCGGACCCGACTCATAGTGACCCCTCCTTGGGTTTCTGAGGTGGTATCACTACGGAAGTAGATTGCCCAACCTTCCTTCCAAGGAGTGGCTGGTGGGTTTGAACCACCAGCCTTCTGGTTAGCAGTCAAGTGCCTTAGGCACTGCGCTACTCTTAACCGCCCTGGCTAAGCCCCAGCAGGCCTGTGACTCTGGGGAGGTAGACGCGGCTGGACCTCTGGCTGGATGGGGGTTCCCTCACCCCGCTGTCTGCCTCTGTGTGCCAGGCTGGGGGATTGCAGTGGGCTGGAGGGATCCGCTCCGCTCCAGCGGCACCACGCTCCTTGCGTGGCTGGAGGGGCTCGTCCTGGGTCCGACAGGCTGGCCAGAGTGTTCGGCGTCTGTGCTCCTCATCCGGCTTTGGCTGAGCCTCGTCAGCCTTAGATGTTCCCTGACAAGTAGCCAGCAGGTGCTGGGAGGGGCCAAGGAGGAAGCAGGTGCCAGGCCCAGCAGCCACCCGGAGGGGGGCCCACAGGCAATACTGTTGGAACAGGAGCGTGAGCACTGACCAGGGTGGCTCTAGATGCTGTCTCAGACCCTCTGTGGGCTGGGGATCCCCGAGCGTTGTGGCCGTGCCTGGCCCCTGAGTCCCTGGAAGGCCCGGCTGCTCCCTTCCCGATGAAGATGCCACAGGTCTGGAAAGTCTCCCCAAGATGGAAGCTCCGCCTTCTGGAGGGAACATGGCACCTAGAGGCGGAAACCCTGTCGGAAGCATGCTGTTCAGGAGGGACGTGGACGGCGGACAGTGCTGCAGCTGCTGCATGGGGTCTCGGGGAGCTGCTGGGCGGGCGCTGAGCACGTCTCGGGGAACCGCTGGGTGGTGCTGCCCCAGGTCTCAGCAGCTGCTGGGCAGGAGCTGCTCGGGCGTAGCCAGAGGGACCATCAGACCACCTGGCGGACACTGAAGTGTGATTCTAAGTCCACTGGTTTAAAGGGCCCTGATCTGTGATCTGACACTGAGCTTCAGAGAGCCCGAACCTCTCCTTCAGGTCAGCCAGCCTCAAGCAAGTCGCTCTTTGGTTGTTGAGGTTCTTCTTTTGAAACGGGAAGTCACCCTCTTTCCTCGGGGCCACTCCGACTGTGGGCGCTGGGCGCGCAGGCCTTGCTTAGCCTTGCTCTGGACCGGTGCTTCTGCAGCAAACCTGCAGCCTGCGCGGAGCTCCCAGGGAGTCCGCCTCCGCCTTGAGTGCCTGCGGGGCTGCTCTGCGGGGAGAGTCTCGCCCTGTGGCTATTGGTTCCATACCTGCTCCACGGCCCCTGGAGCTATGTCCGCACTCTGACGAGGGCCCGGTTCTGTCGAGGGCCTGGTTCTGATGAGGCCCGGTTCTAATGAAGGCCCAGTCTGACAAGGGCCTGGTTCTGTTGAGAGACCCAGTTCTGTTGAGGGCCCGGTTCTCTTGAGGGCCCGGTTCTGACGAGGCCCAGTTCTGACGAGGATTCTGGAATTGGAGCCCCTGCCTGGCCGTGCAAAGGAGCAGTTGCTGGGGCCCAGGTCCGAGAGGACACCAGGCGGGCAGAGCCATTGCTGCCCCAGGGTTGGGGGTCAGGAGTGTCCACCGTGGCGAGGACGTGTCTGTGGATGGACGCATGTTTGCTAACCAGAAATTCTTCCTGCAGAACAAACAGCCACCGAGCGGCCTCAGCCCCTGGGACCCACCTGACGACCCCTGCTGCTGGATCGGAAGGCCCAGCCACGGGCAGAGATGCCCCAGCACCTGACGGGGATCAGGCCCTTCACCTCCATGCCCCAGCTGGCCCACCCCAGGGCACCCCTGCCCGTGTCCCCCAGCCAGAGAGGGCCCCTCGGCACACCGACGGGCCACGGCCCCCTGGACCCCTGTAGCCAGCCTCTGTGCGAGTCCAGGGCTGGGAAGCGCGGCCCGGGCCCCGCCCGCGAGGTGCGTTACGTGTCCACAGAGCCAGCGGACACGGCCTGCGGCTGGTGTACCTTTGCGCCCGAGTGCCTGCAGGCCTTCAACACGGCGCGGGGCGTGCTCCTGTTCCTGTGCCTGGCGTCCTTCCTGCAGGGCATGACCGTGAACGGCTTCATCAACACCGTCATCACGTCCATCGAGCGGCGCTTCGACCTGCACAGCTACCAGAGCGGCCTGGTGGCCAGCGCCTACGACATTGCTGCCTGCCTCTGCCTCACGTTCGTCAGCTACTTCGGCGGCTCCGGCCACAAGCCCCGCTGGCTGGGCTGGGGCGTGCTGCTCATGGGCCTGGGGTCATTCGTGTTTGCACTGCCCCACTTCACCGCCGGCCGCTACGAGGTGGAGGTGGCCGAGGAGGTGGCCGCCTGCCGGGGCAACCACAGCATCGCCTGCGTTGACAGCAACTCGGGCCTGTCCCACTACCGGCTGGTCTTCATGCTGGGCCAGTTCCTGCACGGTGCCGGTGCCACGCCGCTCTACACACTGGGCGTCACCTACCTGGACGAGAACGTCAAGTCCAGCTACTCGCCCATCTACATCGGTGAGTGGGGCTGGCAGGCCCAGGGGTGGGCACGCAGCTGGGAGATGGTTTCCCAGGCTTGGGACAATGCCCCCTGATCCCAGCTGAGCCCATGGGGACTTCTGGGCTCCACGTTTTCCTCTGTGACAGCAAGTGAGCGATTGCTTGTCCTGCCTGGGGGCAGGGAGGGAGATGGTATGGCCTTCATGGAAGCGCCCGCTGCAATGACATGGGCTTGTTGCTGCCCGCCTGCCAGATAGGGAATGACAGTGAGCGCTGTGCTCGGACACCAGAGCAGGCTGGGTGGAGGGCGGGCAGCGCCCCCTCCTGCCGTGGCCCGCAGCTGTCCCTAGCACACCCACTTGGGGGTGAAGTTCTCAGGTGCAGGTGGTGACCAGGACCAGCCCTCGGGGACCGTCCTTGTGTCTCTCCTCACCCACCAGCTCTGCCTGGGATCTGGGGGCAGATGAGGGGGACGGAGGGGACCCTGGAGGTGTTGGGCTGAGAGACTGAGGATTTCAGGAGAAAAACCAAAGTGTTCCAGGCAATCCACAAACTCGCAGATTCATGCACAGTGAAGCAAAGGCACTGTGGGTGTGGCATCCCCTAGCCCCAGACCCATTCTCGGACAGTCTGTGGAAACAAGTGCAGAACCCCCAGCATGCCCGGGAGCCCACTGCTCCTCCTCCAGTGTGCCTGGGATCCCATTGCCCCTCCCCTAGCATCCCAGGATGCCGCTGCCCCTCCCCCTGGGCTGCAGCAGTGAGGCCGGCTGGCCTTCCAGACATTCAACTTGGTGGTCTCTCATCCCCCAGGGAGGACACCTTTGGGACTGTGGCAGAGACTGACTGGCCAGCGAGGCAGGGCTTCTCCCAGGAGGGTGGGTTCTGCACGTCCCCCGTGGGCTCCCCGTGCTGGGTGTGCTGTGAGCTGCATCTGCAGCCCCTTGCTGCCCAGCGTGTCTGGCGGCCCTGACCACTGGGTCTCCCTTGCAGCTGTCTTCTACACCGCAGCCATCCTAGGCCCGGCAGCCGGCTACCTGGTGGGAGGTGCATTACTGAACATCTACACGGAGGTGGGCCAGCGGTGAGTGACTGAGCCGTCTGTGTGAGAGGGGCTTGCATGCCCTGAGGCTGCCAGTGTGGCGGGAGTCCGGGCTGGCGCAGAGACCAAGCTGCTCACAGCTCTCGAGGGCAAGGCGGGGCTCCAGGGCAGGAGGGCACCCCACTGACTGGAGTTGGGGGTTTGGGGAGCCTGTCAGCGTGGCCTGGGGAGGTGGCGCTGGGTGTAGACCGTGGCCACAACACAGGGGCTCTCCGGAAGCTTCCTGAGACGTGGTCGCAGTTTCTGGATCCTGCCTGCTGCCAGGGCGCATTCTGGTGTTTCTCTCCTTCCCTGTAGTTTTTGTTTGTGATCCTGCTGTTGTGGTTGTTGGTTGCCGTGGAGTCAGCTCCGACGCACAGCGAGCCCATGTGCAATAGAACAAAACCCTGCTAAACGTAAGCAGGAAAGAAATTAACTGAGAGAGAAACAGACAGAGGGAGAGAGGACCCGGGTCCTTGGCCACATTCGGCGGGAGGCCAAGTGGCCGGGAGGCTGCTCTGAGCGAGGGCGGCTGGGCCTGGGGCTGGCAGGCCAGTATGCAGAGGACAGAGCCAGAGGGGTGCCCGGCACGGTGAGGGACGAGATGACACGTGCTGGCACGGTGCTGACCCACATCCGCTGTCTCCCCAGGACGGAGCTGACCACCGAGAGCCCACTGTGGGTCGGTGCCTGGTGGGTCGGATTCCTGGGCTCTGGGGCCGCTGCCTTCCTCCTCACCATCCCCATCCTCGGCTACCCGCGGCAGCTGCCAGGTGGGTGTCCCCACTGCCCTTAGTCTGTGTAGCGGTGGAACCCCACTTCCCACCCTTCCTGCTCCCCACCCGAGCCGCCTTGCAGCACACCCGTCCTCTCCTGGTTGTTTTGAAGCAGTGAACCATGTGGATGGTCCTGGGTGAGCTCTCCCAAGGGTGGGAGAGTCGCTGTCCTGCAGGGCATCCCTGGGGCCCCTCCTGGGGGCCGAGGAGCAGCTGATTTCAGCCGTGGGGTGCCACACCATCCTTCCTCTTCCCGCTGGTCTTGAGAGCCAACCGCCTGCCCTCACGCCTCCGTCCCACCAGCCACTCACGGCAGGGCCTCTGCTGTCCCATGCCGTCCCCTCAGGCCAAGACAGGTGTGTGGATGTGCATGACGCACCACAACAGCAGGGACCGTTGCATACCTGTTGCCTCTGACCCCCATGTCCTTCCAGGCACCCAACGCTACGTGGTCATGAGAGCATCGGAGACCCAGCAGCTCAAGGACGGTGGGCTCCGGACCACGGCCAACTCCGACTTCGGGAAGACCGTGAGGGACCTACCTCTGTAAGCATCAACACTCACCAAGCCCTGTCCTGCAACCTCTGAGGATTCCCTCCCCATGCAGTCGCCCCAGGGACCCCCGCGAGGGAGGGCCAGTGGCTCCACCCACTTACCCACTGGGGTTCAGGTCCCCAGGCTTCCGGGGCCGGAAGGTGAAGGAGAAGCAGGTGGAAACTCCTGGGTGGAAACCATGGTCCCTAATTAGGGCTACAGACTGGAGGTCAGCCCCACAGCAGGTCCAGGGTCAGCCTGGGGGGCCGCAACTCACACCTGTCTGCCCGGCCCAGGCCTCTTCGCCAGGCCAGTTAGCTGTAGCCACTGAGAGCCAGGGCCAAAAAGGTGCTAGAAGAGCAGGGGCGCTCAGTGCAATGGAGACGCTGCGCCTGGGGCTTAGTGGACAATGGAGACGCTGAGGCCAGGGCTTAGCAGGTGATGGTCTTTCTTCCAAGTGGTTGCTCTGTCGTTGGTGGACACGCGTCTGCTATGAGTACCAGGACTCCAGACAGAGCCCCAGACCACCAGTGACGGAGGCGCTGGGGGAATCACTGAGCGTCGCTGAAAGCAGACGCTGACAGGCTTGCTTTTTGTTCCCCTCCTCCTGGTTAAACAGGACCCACTTCCTTCAGAACTTACTTGCAAACCAGGGGTGTTTGTTGATGGGGTCACACCTGGGACAGTGCAGTCACCCCAGCAGCAGACAAGTCTGGTCTTTGTCAAGGGCCCTGCCGCTCAGAGGCTGAGCAAGTGAGGGTGGGGGCTCAGTTGTGGGACGGGAAAGTTGGATGGAGCTGAGGACAGTGGCCGGGGTCTCTCTGTCCCTAGAGGGTTCTTTGCTTTGGGTCCTCCCCATGGTTGTAATTTCTGAACGTGTTTCTAAATTCTCCCTGTTCACCACCCAGGGCGGGGCTCTCCTGCGGCTGCTGAAAGGCTCTGCCACGGACCGAGAGCCGTGAAGTGTAGGCAGGGGTCCTCCCTCACTTCTGAAGGCGCGCACAGGGCTGAGCTCCTAACCGGGGCTCTGGGGGAGGCTCCTTCCTTGTCCCTGCAGCTCCTGGTGGCCCTGGCGTTCCTCAGCCTCTGGCAGCACTGCCTCACCTGCCCCTTTCACACGGCCACCTTCCCTCTCCACCTGTCGGTGCGTCTCTGTTCCTTTCATGACGTAGTGACACCAGTCGCTCTGGGTTAGGACCTGCTTCCAACATGACCTCCTGGGACAGCTACAGCCTCAAAGACCCAAACAAGATCATGCTCACAGGCTCTGGGGGCCCAGCATTTTTTTTTTTTTTTTAAATTGTGATTTGGGTGAAGATTCACAGAGCAAATTCACTTTGCATACAGCAGTTCACAAACACTTTGTCTCATGACATTGACAATCTACCACAACCAGCATGTCTCTTTTGGGGGACAGAAATCAATGCATAATACCTAGGAAAGAGGTTTTGTGGGGGGTTAGCCCTTAGGACGTTTTATTTCTTTATTTCATTTCGCACGTTTTGATGTGGTGTGGGTGAGAGGTGACCCAGCACGTTCACGTCCCATTCAACAGTTTAAACACTGTGTGTTTCACGATGCTGGTCACAGTCCCCTCAATGTCACTAGTCTCCCCACTCCTCCCCTGCTTCCTCTTTCCAGTTCACCCCTCTTTCCTGACCCTTCTTGCCGCCTGAACTTTGTTCTCAGGCAAATGCTGCCCGTTTGTTCTCAGGTGGCCCACATTCCTCCCAGGTGTGACAGTTCATGTTATAGGCCTGTCTCTTGTTTGGCTGAAAGGTGATCTCTGGCGGTGGATTCAGTTCCAGGTTTGAAAGATGTCTAAGGACCGTAGTCTCAGGGTTCCTCCAGTCTCTATCAGACAAGAAAGTCGGGTCTTTTTCAGGGTTTTAATTGTGTTCTACATTTTCCTCCTGTTGTGTTCCTGGTCAGAGCGGGGAGTGGTTGTAGCTGGGCACCATCTAGTTCTGGTCCCAGGCTAGTGGAGGCTGTCATTCTTGGGGTCCATCAGGCCTGAGCACTGATTGCTCCCTGGAGTCTCTGTTTTCATCGTTGTTCTTTGCTCTGGACGGGACGAGACCCATAGTCATATCAGCAGTGGCCTCTTACAAGCTCTTGTTTTTCCCCTAATTGTGATTGGGGTGAAAATTTACAGAGCAAATTCGTTTTCCATTCAACAGCTCGTACACATTTTGTTTCATGACATTAATTGCTTGCAGCCTCCACAGTGTGATGGCTCTCTTCCCACTTCCTCCCTGAACTTGCCCTTTTCCTGAGTCCGTTCTTTCCTGGGCATTCCTGCCCTCTGAGCTATCTCTCTGCTCAAATGCCACCCTTCTGTTCTCCCATGATTGTCCTAAGGAGGGTACGTACCTGGTGTAATTGTTCACCTCGTAGGCCTGTCTGTCATTTGGCTGGAAGGTAAGCCATGGGAGTGAGTTCAGTTCCAGGCCTGAAGGGTGACTAGGGGCTCTAGTGTCAGGGGTTCCACCAGTATCTATCAGCCCAGGAAGCCTGGTCTTTTTTATGATTTTGAATTTTGTTCCACATTTTTCTCCTATTCTATCTAGGATCTCCTGCACTGATCCCTTTCTTAGTGGTTGACAGTGGTGGCTGGGCACCATCTAGTGCTTCTGGTCTCAGGGTCATGTAGGCTGAGGTCCCCATGGTTCACCCATCCCTTGGACTAATTGGTTCCATGCATCTTTGGTTTTCTTCACTCTTCTTTGCTCTGGATGGGGAAAGGCCAATTGTTGCATCTTTGGCGGCCAGTCACAAGCTTCTCAGACCCCAGAAGCTACTCAACAAAGTAGGCTGTGGGGCAATATCGTTGTGTAGTATGTAGTGCCACTTGAGCTTGATGTCCCCTGCAACCATGGCCCCAAGCCCACGGGTTCAGTGACTCACTCCCTCAAGGTGTTTGGCTGTGGCTGAGAAGTTACCCTAACTTTGCCCCCTGTTAGCTGTATTATATGTCTGGACATTCTTACAGCACATACAAATATGGGTGTGGGAGCATCATCTACCAGACTTATACACGGTCATGGATATTTTCCCTTCTGCCTACCGGTCCCTGATCATTCAGCCTGTCTGCTGAGGTACCTACTTGGGGATTAATGTTGGTGTCACTGATACTGTAGGACTGTGTGTGTCAACATGTGCACCTTTGTGGTCTGACCTCTTGTGTGCCTCTCCACGTCCTTTTCCTTAGTGATGTTACATCACTTACTTGTTTGTAGTGTATTGCCTTTCCCTTCACCCAGTACAATACTTATCTCTCACCTAGCCAGCAATTTTCTCTCCCTCCCCTCCCATTCCTGGTAACCAACAAAGAGAGTTTCCTTCCATGTGTAAACCTCTCCTTGACTTTTTATAATAGTGGGTGTATATAATATTTGTCCTTCTGTGATTGACTTACTTCACTCATCATAATGGCCTCCAAGTTCACCCACATGATGATGTGTTTCCTAGATTCTTCATTGTTCTTTAATTTGCATAGTATTCCATTTTGTACATGTACTGTAGTTTGGTTATCCATTAATCTGCTGATGGGCACTTAGGTTGTTTCCATCTCTTTGCTATTGTGAATAGTGCTGCAATGAACATGGGTGTGCATATGTCTGTTCTTGTCATGGCTCTCACTTCGTTAGGATCTATACCTGGTAATGGGATTGCTGGGTCAAATGTTATTTCTAATTCCAACTTTTTAAGGAATCACCATACTGCTTTCCACAGTGGTTGTACCATTTTACAGTCCCACCAGCAGTGTATGAGAGTCCCAATCTCTCCATATCCTCACCAGCATTTGTTATTTTCTGTCTTGTTGAACTTTGCCATTAGTGGTGGGCTGAGATGGTATCTCATTGTTGTTTTGATTTGTGTCTCTCTAATGGCTAATGATTGCGAGCATTTCTTCATGTGTTTGTTGGCTGCCTGAATATTCTCTTTGTTGAAGTGTCTATTCATGTCTTCTCCCATTTTTTAATTGGATTATTTGTCTTTTTGTTATTGAGGTGTTGGAGTTTCCTATAAATTCTAGAGATAAGTCCCTTGTCAGATATGTCATTGCCAAATATTTTTTCCCAATCTGTAGGTTCTTTTGACTCTCTTGGAGAAGTCCTTGGAAGCACATAAAAATTTTATTTTTAGAAGGCCCCATTCGTCTGATGTCTCTTCTGCTGTTTGTACATTTTGAGTTATGCTTGATAGTCTATTTGTGCCATATATTAGGGTCCCTAAATTTGGGCCTAGTTTTTCCTTGAGGAACTTTATAGTTTTAGGTTTCACATTTAAGTCTTTGATCCATCTGGAGTTAGTTTTTGTGTATGGTGTGAGGTATAGACCTTGTTTCATCTTTCTGTAAATGGATATCCAGTTTTGCCAGCACCACTGTTAAAGAGACCATCTCTTCCTCCATTGAATGGATTTCAGCCCTTTGTCAAAAATCAGCTGACCATAGGTCGATGGATCTATTTCTGGGTTCTCAGTTCTATTCCACTGGTCTATGTGTCTTGTACCAATACCAGGCAGTTTTGACTACTGTCGCTGTATAGTGGGTTTTGAGATCTGGCAGTGTGAGACCTCCTACTTTGTTTTTCTTCTTCAGTAGTGCTTTGCTATCCGAGGTCTCTTTCCTTTCCAAATGAAGTTAGTGATTGGTTTTTCCATGACTTGGGACATTTAAATAGACTTTCAGCACCTTATGTAATAAGCAGTTCACTGATGGGTTAGCACCTGCCCCCTCCGGGCCCTCACAAACGCAAACCCTTGTCTACCTGTGTGAATGACCCACGAGCCCCGAGTGCCACCATGTGGTACGTCAGCTGTGCAGCTGAGCTCCGGAGCTGAGTGCCCCGGGAGGGAGCAGCTCGAGTGGGTCCGATGTCACGTTAGAGAGACCGAGTTGGAGCCTTTCCAGTTGGGAAGGGCTGTCTGGCAGGGCACCACTGTGGTTGCCCTGAGGTATGTCCAGGCAGACAGTCCACCCCAGATGCACCTAAAAAGCCTGGTCTAGCAGAGTTTGCCGCAGCCTTCAAGCAAATGCTTGACACCCAAGACTAGACGCCAGGCCCCATGGAGCTTGTGTCCCCTCTGTCCTCAAGGAGGGGTTGCTAGGCCTCCTGAGCGTCCCCAAGTACAAACCAAGAGAAGTTGGGGAGCCTTCTCGGGGGCTTCTCGTTCCAAACCCAATCATTCTCCCAGGCTGGTGACCCCGCCCTGCCCCTCGGTGGCCCTGGTCCTTTGCCTAGGTGGCTGTTCAGTCCAGACACCTCCTGCACCCCGCTCCCCAGCTCCCCTGGAGGCCCCTCTGCTGCCCTTCAGTGTCACCCAGAGGTGGGTCACGGGCACTTGGCATCTCTGACGCCGGAACTCAGGCCAAGGTGGTGATAGCCATTGCATTGAGCAGCCGCAGCCCAGCCCCAGGGTAGTAGTTCTCTGTCACCAAGGCCTGGCAGGGAGTCACCTCAGCTCTCTTGTCCCTCACTCACGCTCAGGTGGGAGGGGCAATGGGCTTGGGAGGGGTCTGGTCCACCCTGACCCTCTGTCTCTTCTTTTCTCTGGTCTCCACGCCGTCCAACCTGTCCAGCTCCATCTGGCTCCTCCTGAAGAACCCCACGTTCATTGTGCTCTGCCTGACTGGGGCCACAGAGGCCACACTCATTACTGGCATGTCCACATTTGGCCCCAAGTTCCTCGAGGCCCAATTCAGCCTCAGTGCCTCGGAAGCCGCCACCTTGTTCGGTAAGAAAGCTCCCTGATTCTCTGTGGACCCTCTGCTTTCCCGTAAGTTCTCAGATACATAAGGGTCTTTGAGGACATCTTTTAGAAAGGCCCTCACAGGGCTGCTCCAGGTGGGAGCACAGGCTGGCCGGTGCGTCCCCCCAGGGCTGGTGCAGGTGGAAAGCAGCTCCGGGCTTTTCATCGAGTTCCTGCTGCCGTGTGATTGTTGGGCTGCAGGACGGAAGCAGGCTGGCTCCTCCATGAGGCCTTGGCGAGCCCTACCCAGAGCACATAGTGGTCAAATGGTGCCCTGCATCAGGGCCAGGCCCCGGTGGGACCGTGGTGGCCCTCTGAGTGGGCATGCACCTCTGGCAGCTTCTGGAGGGTGTGGGGGGCCTCCAGCTCACCAGAGGCCCCTGCTTACCCAATGCCCCAACTGCAGACATCAATGGCTATGCCTGTCAAGCACCCAGACTCAGGCCTGGGTGCCCTGTGAGCTGAGCACCCAGTGTCCCAGGGTCTCAGGCTTGTTGGCCAGAGCTCCTGGACCTGCCCAGTGGGTACGGTCTGTGGCCAGGGCAGGTTGGCCCTCCTGGGGCTGTGGGGACGGGGGACCTCCTCTCACCCCCTCTGCCAGCATTCATGAGTTAGTCCAGAGCTCGGGCGCCCACCTCGGCCTTACCAGAGGGAGGTGCCAGGTGTAGGGGGTCAGCGCTGGGTGTGGAGGGCAGGGGCCTCAGGGCAGTGTGTTTCACTCATGCCACAGTTAACACTCCCTGAGGGGGAAGAGGGTGCTGGATTAGGGGCCCCACCCTCCCTTCCTCCAACTGTGGCACCCAGATTCCCTCCTGGCCACTGCCTCTGAGGCTCACTAAGCACTTCCCTCCCAGGGTACCTGGTGGTGCCGGCGGGTGGAGGTGGTACCTTCCTGGGCGGTTTCTTGGTGAACAAGTTCAAGCTGCGAGGCGCGGACATCATCAAGTTCTGCCTTCTCTGCACCCTGACCAGCCTCCTGGCCATCTTCATCTTCTTCCTGCACTGCCCCAACATGCCCATGGCCGGCGTGACGGCCACCTACAGCGGGAGGTAAGGCAGGTGGGGCCTGGCTGGAGGGGACTCCCAACTGGGGGCAGTGACATGGAGACACATTGTGAAGACACACCTGTGCAAGAATGTACCTGTGTGGAGGCACCTGTGTGGGGACACATTTGTGTGGAGGCTCACCTGTGTGGAGGCTCACCTGTGTGGAGGCTCATCTGTGTGGAGGCTCACCTGTGTATAGGCACACCTGTGTGGAGACTCACCTGTGTATAGGGACACCTGTGTGGAGGCACACTTGTGTGGAGACTTACTTGTGTATGGGCACACCTGTGTGGAGATTCACCCATGTGGAGGCTCACCTGTGTGGAGTCATAATTGTGTGGGGACACACCTATGTGGAAGTACACCTGTGTGGAGATTCATCTGTGTGGGGACACACCTGTGTGGAGGCACACCAGTATGGAGTCACAACTGTGTGGGGACACACCTGTGTGGAAGTGCACCTGTGTAGAGACTCACCTGTGTATAAACACACCTGTGGAGACACACCTGTGTGGAGACTCACCTGAATGAAGATACACCTGGGTGAGGAGAGGGCCGGCAAGGCAAGGAGTACTGACGGACAAGGACACCCACACAGTGCCGCCTCAGTCGACAAGCCTCATTCGTAGAATGACACCAGGTCGGCTGTTAAGGACACCTGGGCTCAGGTCCCAGCTCTGTGCCTGTGTGGACCTTGGTCTACTCGTGTGCAGTGAGATGACAGCCGCCCACCTTCTGGTGTCCTGGGGGCTTCTCACCACCTGCTGACAAGTGTGTGGCCAGGCTGGCTCCATGAGCTCTGGTGGGGGTGCAACAGGAGCAACCTCTAAATAACACACACACACACACACACACACACACACTCTGCCTGCATCCCAGCCTGTGGGCTCCCTCCCAGGAACCTGCCACACAGATCCCCTTGCATGGTGCAGGGGACAGAGCCCCTGTGGTGTGTCTGAAGTAGCTGAAGCCTGGAAACAACCTAAAACTTGACCAGGAGGGGCCTGGCTAAGCCACAGTGTGTCCCCACAATGGGGTACTGTGCTGGCATTCAAAGGGACGAGAAAGCTCTTCATGGGTCAATACACTGTGAAGCAGGAAAGGGAAGGAGTGGAACAGAGTGGGTTTGAGTTTTAAAAAAGAGGGGCAAGGTGTGTGTGCATGTGCCTATATGAAAGTGTGCATGTGTGTGCATGTGTGTACGTGTATGTGTGTGCATGCATGTACGTGTGTGTGTGCGCGCATGCATATCGTGGCTTGCTGCACGCATGTGAGTCATCCCTGGATGTGTGCAGCCGGCAGCCTGGGCTGAGAATGGGAGGTGGCACACTTAGGGGACGTCTTCCCACCTAGTACTCTGCCCTGGTTCTGAGTGGTGAGTCACGTGAACGAATGGTCTATCCAGAAAGTAAACACGTTGGGACACGTGAGCTGTGCAAGATGAGCGCTCGCCTGCTTCCCAGCCGGTGGTCCAAGCCCACCCAGCCGCTCCACAGGGAAGAGCCAGCTATCTGCTGCTGGAAAGGTGACAGCCCAGGAACCCCTGTGGACACCTGTGCTCTGTCACTGGGGTGCTGAGTCAGGATTGACTCGATGGCACCCCACAGTGACAAGGTACCCAGGAGGCTGGAGACCGTGGGTGTGGGCCCCGGTGCAGCCATGAGACAGTTACCTCACAGAGCACGGATGCTGAGAGAGCCCCGCCCGGGGCGGAGGCAGGCTCAGGTCTGTTCAGATGGAGGTGGGGTGGAGACAGGACCCAGGGGGTGCCTGGGCCCTGTCCCACGTGCCTCCCCTCCCACCGCAGCCCCCTGCCTGAGGGCCACCTGCAGCTGACAGCGGCCTGCAACGTTGCCTGTGACTGCCAGCCGGAACACTACAGCCCCGTGTGCGGCTCTGACGGCACCATGTACTACTCGCCCTGCCATGCCGGCTGCCTGGCCCCGGCCACCACAGACCCGGGTGGCCGGAAGGTGAGTGTGGCCGCCGCCCAGGGCCCGCCATCCCCGCTGCGGACCTGGGGGCCTCGTGGCCCTAACTCCTGCGGACCTGGGGGGCCCCTGGCCCTTCCCCCTGTAATCAGCGTTGTTGTTGGGCTTCTCAGGTGTACCGAAACTGTAGCTGTGTCCCCCAGAACCTTGCCTCTGGCTTTGGCCAGGCCACCGCAGGGACGTGCACCTCGGCCTGTCAGAGAAAGCCCCTCCTTCTGGTTTTCATATTCGTTGTAATTCTCTTTACATTCCTCAGCAGCATTCCTGCGCTCACGGCCACCTTACGGTAAGAAACAGGGCGGGGTCTTCACGCAGAACCTTCCCTTGCAGCCCGAAGGTTGGAGCTCTGCGGGCCCTCGGCGGGCGGCCCTGCCACGGAGGCACCGGGCCCTGTCCCGGGCTCCTGCTGCGGAGCTTGCTGAGGCCTGCGTCGAGTCGGTGGGCGGGCAGCACACAGCTAGCTGGCCTGGCAGTGCCAGGGTGCTGGCCGCTGGGAGACGGGAGGCGGCCTGGGGCTCAGCCGGGCTCGCCCCGGTGTGGGGATGAACTTTTTTTTTTTTAATCGTGATTTGGGTGGAAGTTTACAGAGCAAATTCACTTTCCATACAGCAGCTCACATACACTTTGGCTCATGACATTGACCCCAGTTTACCACAATGCAACAGCTCCCCTCCCCCTTCCTCCCCATAGTTACCTCTTCCCTGTGTCCATCCTTCCCTGCTCTCCTGCCCCCCGAGCTGTCTCCCGGTGCATAAACAGCCCTTCTATTCTCCCATGCTTGTTCTCTCCCAGGAGTGTATCTGCCTCAGGTACATGTTCAGCTCATACGCCTGTCTTTTGTTTGGCTGGAAGCCACAGGTGTGGGTTCAGTTCCAGACCTGAAGGGACGCTAGGGGCCACCGTCTCAGTGGCTGCACCGGGCTCTGTCGGACCAGCACACCCGGGCCCGTGGGGTGAACTTTCGGTTCGCTGACTCTGCTTTTGTTGCAGGTGCGTACACGACCAGCAGAGGTCCTTTGCTCTGGGCATCCAGTGGATTGTCGTTAGGACGCTAGGTACGCAGTGCGAGGGCGTGCAGCCGTGTGCAGGGTGCGTGTTGATGGCACAAGAGTGCTGGCGGGTCCCTCACCAGCTCAGCCGTGCTCCCAAATCGTCCAGTGGAAGGGCCACCGTCATCTCATTTAAACCGAAAAGAACCAGCCAGCGTCCACCGGGCCCGTGCTGACCAGTCGTGGCCCTGTGTGCGACGAGCAGAACTGTCCCCCAGAGGGTCCGTGATGGCTGAGCTCTCACAAGGACATCACCAGGCCTCTCCTCTTGAACCTGGCCTTTCAGGGAACAGCCAAGCGAGTTAACCTGTGGCGCCACCAGGCTGAGTGGCCCGGCAGGCACCTGTGCCTCCTTAGCGGAAGGTCCTGCTGGAGCAAGAGGCCACCAGGGAATTTCCTAGCCCCAGTGCCATGTCCCCAGAGAAGGGAGACTGTGACCCCAGGCAGCCCTGAAAGGAGCCCTGACGATGCGGAGGTTAAAGCACTCTGGTGCGAACCACAAGGTCCGTGGTTTGAACCCCTCACCAGTGGCTTGCTGGAGAAGGACCTGCTGATCCGGCCCTGTAAAGATGACAGCCTAGGAAACTCCATAACCCCGAGGGGCAGTTCTTCCCTGTCGTGTGGGGTTGCCGCGCGCTGGAATTGACTGGCCAGCCCTGACGAGTGTCACCCTGATGTCCACAGCTCCTGCTTGCTTGGTACTGAGCCCCCTCTCTCCACAGGGGGCATCCCGGGGCCCATCATCTTTGGCTGGGTGATAGACAAGGCGTGCCTGCTGTGGCAGGACCAGTGTGGCGTCCAGGGCTCCTGCTTCGTGTACCAGAATGCAGCCATGAGTCGGTACATGCTTGTCACCGGGCTCCTGTACAAGGTGAGGGGGGTTGCGCCAGCTCCAGGGGCCCGCAGCAGGTCTCCCCGCTGACCCGGGATCTACCTGCTGACTCGAGGTCTCCCCCACTGACACGGTCTCCCCCACTGACCCGGGGTCTCCCCACTGACCCAGGGTCTCCCCTACTGGCCTGGTGTCTCTGCACTGACCTGTGGTCTCCCCACTGACCCAGGATC